CTTTAATACCGGTAGCTTAGAAGCAGAGGTTTATGAACTTAGTGCCTTTGAAAGTCTCTACTGTGGTTGTGAGCAAGATAGCTAATCCTATAATTTCCTAGTGCTCAAACTGACAGAAAACTGTGCCCTGCATTCTGGTCATGAGGAATAGCTGTCCAGAATATATGTGGGTGATCTCCTGTCTTCTCCTTATCTAAGGAAGTTCCAAGAAAATGGTCTACTTCTTGGTTCCTTGGTCTTTGCTATGGTCATTGGCTCTGCTTTTGTAGAGCTGTCTTCAGTTCATTATACCTTCCCTGGAAGATCATCATTTTAAGACAACTCAGCTATGAAAAATGATCAGAGTTGACTTGTTATGTTGACTTTTCAAATGGGCTTTCTCCATTGTGGTTTGACACATTGATTGATTTATTTAGAACACTTATATGGCCACCTGAGCCAGTTTGGTGTAGTGGTTAAGGCATCTGACTAGAAACTGGGAGTCTGAGTTCCAATTCCACCAAAGGCACAAAGCCAGCTTGGGACAGTTACTTTCTCTTAGCTCTAAAAAGGAGGCAATGGCAAACCACTTCTGAAAAACCTTGCCAAGAAAACTGCAGGGCCTTGTCCAGGCAGTCTCTTAGGATCAGATATGATTAAATGAAAAAAAAAAAACACCATGTAAATGTTTAGTGTGAATAGGTTTTTAAAAACTATTGCAAAGTATTTAAGGGAAGTAACAAAATGACCTTAGGTTTTTTGTAATCACTTTGACTCATTTACCAGCAATGAACTGAAGAAGCTACTCTTTCCCCATTACTTTTTTTGCCTTCCAGAAGGTTTTCCATAATATCAACTCAATTCTGCCTTTTTAAAGGCAAATGGACATATTCGAAAACCTAATACCGACTCCACTACAACCACTTCTAATTTGATCATTTTTATTTTATTTTTTGAAAATACCTATGAAGGAAGCCATTGTTTGCACATTTAACCAAAATAATACTTAAAATGGGCCATCAACCTCACATAGGGCAAAGATACCATGTTGCTAATCTCTTACTGTAACTGAAAATTGGCTTTCTACTGTGTACACATTTTGGGAATTGCAATATTGAATCTGGCAGTTACAGGTTCCTATAAAAAAACAGGCAAGTCCTACTGAATTTTATACAGTTTATTTTTATGTAAGTATAACATGCAGCCTAAGTATAGAGGATTCTATTGCTCATTTATTTATTCATTTTACCCATGTCCCACAATATAGTGACTCTTAACTGTTATTGTTAGAAATCACTGGCCTGTTGACATTTTCCTTAAACAATGTAGTTTCATCCTGAGTTGTGTATCAAATGTGTTTTAAACGACAGGTCTGAACTGAATCTCAGTAGAAACCTGTTGATCAAAATATATAGCACTCTAAAAGAGCTTCAAAGTGTGCAAGTGTATGCATTTTTCCAAGGCGACATGAAAGCTTAACTGTCTGTTTAGTTCTTCATGCAACCTGTCAGGAAAAATATAAGAGGAAAAACGAAAGTGAGAAAGCACCTGCCACTTCAGATGACATCTGAAATTAAACTGGCAATCTTTGGAACAAAAAGGTATGATTTGGTCTAGAGTACGAAATGTTGCATTGCTTACTTGAGATAGTAATTTCAACTGAACTAGGTGCAAAACCAGCAATCGAACATGATTGATTAAAATTTTCACAGCAGTGGGCAAATAATTTAATTTAAACAACAGAGTAACTAAATGCACAAGAACTGATGCAGTTTTTTTAGGTTTGCATAGATAATTTGACCTTCTTTTATAGGATTTTACCCAATAAATTAATGCAAGCTGACTCTGTTAGGCATTTATTCTCTTTCTCAAACAAGTGATGGCTTTCTGCGTAATGGATTTTACCTTAACAAGGCTAAAATGGCAAGAACAAATTGGAGAAATGCTATGAAAATCCTGACTTCCTGTTGCTGAAGATCACCCCTGTTACCTGGGCGGATTATTAAAAAGGGTAAAGTAAGAGAGAAAACTGTGAAATCCAGGATAGAAATTGGCATTTGTGACCTTTTCCCCTTTTAAATTTCTGAAGTCAAAATATACAGAAGCTATTGACTTCAAAAGGATATTCAAATGGATAGATCAGCTTTCTTACCATAGGCATACGTTCTTGAACACATAGATATCAAAATGATGAAATGTGGGTTTCCTCCTTTTGTACTTGCATGCAACATTGCAAGTATATAAGAGGAGATGTTTGTTGCAACATCATATTAAGTATTTCTTTTCCTGCCTCTTTAGCACCTATACCACCTAATTTTTCTGATAGCCCTCTTCATTTTTAGAAAATAATTGACTTGCCCCTACCTCTCTTTGGCCAACGTAGCTGTCTGGAGAGCCATTTATTAGAAAATAACAAATAGTATTTTTAAACAATTGATAAAGCCACACAACACCCAGAGTGACTCTGGCCGGTGTACAAGGTTAAAAGCAACAATAACGTAATAATAAAGTCCTTTTTACTGCTGTGCCTTTTTATTTATTGCTTTGTCAGTTATTCAATGAAATGCATTACCATTTCAGTTATTGAGGTATAAAGGAGATATAGCACTGCTTTTGAAATCAACCTTTTGCAATTCATTGGGATTTAATCAATGTTGGATCGGACCCATGTCCTCCCATAAACGGAAGTGGATTGAATTTGGCAATTTGGAATAGATGCTGATGATGTCAGTGAGAACTAACAAGCTCTGGACCAGGTTCTACTTCATAAAACTACCTAACATAAATGGAGCTTGGTTGTGCCAATTATAACGATCTTTACTTCCTGACAGTGAGAACAATTAATCAGTGTAATGGCTTGTCTTCTGAAGCTATGGGTGCTGCATCACTGGAGGTTTTTAAGAAGAGATTTGACAGCCATTTGTCCAGAATGTTATAGGGTCTTCTGCTTGAGCAGGAGATTGGACTAGAAGACCTGCAAGGTCCCTTCCAACTCTGTTTTTCTGTTATTTATTTTGTCTATTCATGACCAATGCAAAGAAATAATACTGAAAAAATAATACTGTATATCAATTACAAAATGAAATATGTGAGTTCCATCAAAAAACAAAAGAACCCATCAAGCACCCTTCTTCTAGCCCCCTCCTCAAGCACAACAAAATCCAAAAGCTTTTCTCAAAGCAGACCTTTAACTCTTGCATTCCACAGGTTTCTTTTATGTTTTTCTAAAGCTGTGTATCAACTACAAGTCTGAGCTAAGGAACCCATCCTTGGCAGTTCCTAGAATGGAAGTGTAAAGGCCCACTATGTTTTTCTTCTCAAGAAAAATATTAAATGACTATGGAGATTCTCGGTCATCCAGGTCATGATTGTCCCATAAGTACTTTTTCAAGAGGCAACTGGGCTTTCTTGTTTTTCTTTGAAGATGTTTCGCTTCTCATCCAAGAAGCTTCTTCAGCTCTGAGCGAAACGTCTTCAAAGAAAAACAAGAAAGTCCAATTGCCTCTTGAAAAAGCACCTTTGGGACAAGAGAAACAGTAGGCATAATACTAGCCTTCTTAAAACCAGAGCCCCAAACTGGGTACTATTTTCATCATTGGCACCATGCCAAGAAAAGTGAAGTTATCAGATGCTTCCATGCTCTGAATGCCTTTTCTTTCATTGCTGAAAAGAGTTCAAATGAGCTGATAGAAGAGGAAGCTAACAAATTGAAGATACATTTTCCAGATGGATTCCTACATTCTGTCATCCTTCAAATTAAGCCACCTCCCTGTCCTGCATAATTAGATAGAAATGCAGATAACACAGCTGGCATATTAATTCTTGTGAATTAGGACACTGTAATAATATCTGGCAGATTCATATAGGACTTTCTTTTCCTATCAGATTATATGAACTCTCAGGAGTGTGTGGAAGAAGTATTGTGAGGTAACCAGTTTCATAAATCCAATTAATAATATTGGAGTAAATCCATCAGAATGAACCACTACAGTTTGGTGTAGTGGTTAAGGCACTGGGCTAGAATCCTGGAGAGTGTGAATTCTGATCCTGCTTTAAGGACAAGGCAAGTTGGGCCAATCACTCTCTCTCACCTGTAGAAAGAAGGCAATGGAAAACCATTTTTGATTTAAAAAAATGGAAAAAAACCCCAATAACGGTGCAGGGATTTGTCCAAGCAATGGCCAGAAATCATCACTGACTTAAAGGCACCAAAATAAAACAAAACCTTCCATCAGAAGACCCGGACAGCCTTGCCAACTGTAGCTTTATCATGCATTACCATGGCGTCTGAGATAAATCTCTATAAATGTGATGAAGTTGAATCCAAGCTTCTGCTCAAGTTATGGGTGGGCAACAAGGCTGACCCTATAACAAACTCATCATCACCACAGTTAAGATCTGCCCATAGAAAAGGCATCCAAAATCAAACAGTTCTCACATCACCTGAGACACAATACTTCAGATGCACTCAATGTAGACAATCAAAAAAGCATCAGGGGAAACGTTTCTGATTTACCTCTACACAGGGGGCCAAATCACAATGAACCCCAATCAGAGCTTAATTCATCTTGCCACGACAAAATCCGGGGAAAGTCTGTAGCGTGTTTATTACGTTTAACGCAAACCATCAAAGCTATTGTGATCTTCTCCTATATTGTAACCTGTCATGTTGTACTGCTTTATTGTACTGACGGATAATAAACACGCCCCTCGCCTATAGCCATTTGACACCCCCCCTCCCCAGTCCGGATAAGGTTTGATGCGCCAAGAATTGACCACTTATCCAAGAATCTTCAGCTACTCCCGACCCAACAACTCTCCTCAGTCGCTCTTGAGAGGTGGGGTTTTCTTTTTAAAGTTTAGGCAAAGAAGGCGCCCAAGATTGGAGGCAAGGAACCAGCAGAGCGGGCAGAAAACTTCCCGCCGTCTTTTGGCATAAAGCAGCGGCTTTGTTGGTGGATGAGACGCCAGGAGCCCCTAGAACTATTCCTTGCAGTACATGGCTAGGCAGCAATACTTACTGGATTAAAGCCGCTTTTTCCTTTTTACTGGCCACTCTGAGGGGCTTTAGTTCGTCCCCGTCAGGCTGAAGATCAGTCATGAACACCATCGGGAAGAAAAAGTTCGCCTCTGCTCTGTCGTCGCCTCTGGCTCTGCTCCCCCTTCTCTCTGTTGATAGTACTCAAATGGGACTCCCTCCGAGCATTTCTAGCTTCGTATCACCTTCGTATCACCTTACACCACTTCGTAAGCTCAAAGCACAAAATGAGACCCAAGCACGGGCTTTTTTTTTTTTCTTCCTCCCCTTAGTCCCTAACTAACCTGAGCGAGTTTGAACTGGTAATGGTTGCCCGCCCAGCCCTATAGGCTGATGCACAGAGGGAGGAAGCAGGGAAAGTCCGGAGAGACCCAGCCCTCTTCTCGAACCACAGACTCTGGAAGGAAACAGAAAAACCAGTCCCACCAGCTCGTCAGAGATTCAACTCATTGCTCAAGCACGGAAATGACAGCTCTTTTTTTACAGCTCAGCAGCTTTGAAAAAGTCGGATGAGATTTAAAAAAAAGAAAAAAGAAATCGAGAGAAGATAACGATTACGGTGGGACTGAGCCGACGGAAGCAATGAAATTCGTATTAAAAAAATAAATAAAAATCTGCCGGACGTGAAATGTGGGAGTGGAGAAAAAAAGTTGGAAGGTCATCTGACATGATCCTAGCTCTTGATAGGACTCTCTTCAGGCACCTTGGGTGGCTCTAAGACTTGTTATGGAGCTGAAATGATTCACAGCTGGAAGCTTCCTGTTCAGCTATTGTCACTTGGTGGCTTATGAAAACAAAAGGACTCCTGAATGTTTCATGTGGGAATAGCAATAAGAGGAGAAGGGAAAAGGCCTTTGGTTCCTGTTGGTTGATTTTACCTGAGGACTCACCTGACGGCTTGGCTTGAAACAGTGGCAGAGAGTTGGGGACAGGAAATTTCAGATTGGGCAGATTTTCTGCTGATCTGAAGAATAGGTGGGGAGTGATTCAGTTCTCCTGTATGGAAGGGCTTGAGGCAGGTAACCTACAGGTTCCAAGCAAGGAGAATCCACTCGCTGCCCCATACTGGCAAGCTAGGAATCCAACCTTGCTTGGCAGATAATGATGGTATTGTTTCAGGTGGCTTTCTCTGATTGGAAACCTTCAAACAGTTGGGTTTCTGGTGTCCCTGAACCCCTGGTATTCAGAGGACCAGGTTCAGAGAATATAAAGAACCTAAAAGTTCAACCCTAAGCTTTGTAAACTCTACAGGTAGTTCTTGACTTATGACCACAATTAAGCCCAAAATTTCTGTTGCTAAGCAAGTGAGTTAAGTGAGTTTTGCCCCATTTTACGATCTTTTTTTCACCGTTAAATGAATCACTGCAGTTGTTGTGAATCACAGGGTAGTTAAGTGATTCCAGCTTCCCCCATTGACTTTGCTTGACAGAAGCTGGCTGGGTAGGCTACAAATGGAGATCACATGACCCCAGGATAGTGCAACTGTCATAAATACATGCCAGTTGTTAAGTGCCTGAATTTTGATCATGTGTCCACGGGGATGCTGCAACTGTTGTGTGTGAAAAATGGTCATAAGTCACTTTTTTCTGTGCCATGGTAATTTCAAATGGTCACTAAATGAATGATTATAAGTCAAACACTACTGATAGTAACATTAGGTTGGCCTAATGTTCCAGAATGATTGGCCAAGTAAATTGGGCATTCTGAGAGTTTTAGTCCAAACATTTGGAGAGAGGGTCACCAGGCTAAAAAAAAAATAAAAATCTGGTTTTGAGCTACTATTGTCTTTAGAGTAGTAAGACAACACATAGCTTGTTATTAGTCTATGTCAGTGTTTCTCAGTATTAACAATTTTAAGATGTGTGGACTTCAATTCCCAGAATCCCCTAGTCAACTAGGTGGGGAATTCTGGGAACTGAAGTCCATACATCTTAAAGTCACCAAAGGTAAGATTCACCTAGTCTATGCCATCTTTTTCTAGCTGCCGGGAAGCATTAAAAAAAAAAAAAAAAAGGCAGGACAGAATTTTGTTTGCATTTTTAACCAGAGAGTGCATCATTTGTCCTGCTCTATGTCCCAGAATCTGTTAAAAATGACAAGTCCTTCTAGCAATGAAAACTTTCTGAGGAATCAACACAATTACTCTTTATGTTTTCCCTTTTAGTGGATTTACATGCTCTTTTTCCAGGGATCACTTAATCTGCAATGACTTTCAAAACATTCAGCCAGATTTCCTAATACAGTGACCACACTGACGTTGTTGATCTGGGCCTCACTTCTTTCTGTGTAACTGTTAAGTGAACCGTAAAGTTTTCAAATCTTTTGTATGCTTCCTGTTAGGATTATGTCATTTAGAGTAGCTGCCCCCTTTTCTTACTTCTAGGCCACTTTATGAAGGTATAGCCGTGAAATAGAGTTTAAAAATTGTGAAATGCTACTGGAATTCAAGTTAGCATTCTGACATGATCTGAATCTCTTGGAGTTGAGTAGGTCGCCACACCATTTTGCATTGTGCTCATGATTCTCACTCATCATACTACGAAATCCCTGCAGTTTTGAGATTGTGAGGGCAGTATAGACCCACTGGGGTCCTCTCCTAGCTTTTGGTAGCTATGACATGGGTTTTAAATGGAAACAGATGAGGAATCCAATCACACTAAATTCATACATGGACTGATCTGATCTGAGTTTCCCAGATTAACATACAGCTTAGAAATCTTGCAGCTCTGTCAGTTCTGATTGGCCTGACATTTCCTGGCTTAAAACACATCAAAATAAATTTAAAAATGGGTGAAAGTACACTTGACATATATTTACACATTTAAGTGTAGATTTTCATGCAAGTTAAAAAGATGTAGCTTAATGCAGAAAGAGGGTGGAAAGAATTATACATACTTGTGAAACTATGTTATCTAAAAATACCGATTCACCAATTTTTAGGAGGAATCGTAATTCCCTATGAAAATATGCAAGAAAGAACACAATATTACAATTGTGATACAAATTGGATATAACCATTTAAATCATCTTGTTTTAGCAAAGATACCAATACTTGGGATTGAACCAAAATCACTGGCACTATTTGCATTATATTGTTATCAAATTAATTTACCCCAAAACAGTTATAGTCACATAGCATTAGCTAAATTGGACTAGATCAAATAGTATTTTTAAAAACAAATTATTTTCATTCAAAAGCAAGAGTAAGCAATATTTATTTAAAATAAAGATATCATTTTAAAAAAAATATTTCAATAAGTAGGCAAAGAAAATTTCTGAGGTTGTACAACTAGTGCTTAGTATAAGGTTAATAAAGATTGAATATATCAGACAAAGATCATTAAGTAGAAAAAATAATCTACTAAACATAGTGTATGTAAGTATTTGGTTTCTCTTAGATCAAGCATCAGGCTCCAGCTATTCTTTGCACTCTGATTTACAGTGTTTATAAACATAAACTTTAAATACCATACTCTAAAAATGTATATTTGTCTTGCTGCGTGATATATATAGTATATAGTAATGGAAGCTATTTTTGCTTAAATGGAATTATTCTTCTATTATGTGTATACTCTATTCATTTTGCCATTGATGCATATTCTCCAAGTTTAAGTTCCCAAAGCAATGTTTGTTTTCCAGCCAGTGAATAATATGGGCAATTTTGTGAATAGTCAATGTGGTGCAATAAATTTTTTTTCTTCTCAGTTGCCACTCTGGGAGTTAGGTTGGATTGAAAGACAACGATTGGTCCAAAGTCACACTAGAACTTGGTGGAAAAAAATGAATGAAAATTCAATGCACTCTGCTTTGGCCAGAATATAAACCAATTAAAGAAAAGAAGAAATAAAGCTATTTTAGTAGTCACGAAAAATGGCTACCATGACAATTGTTGGGCCTATTCATGAAAGGCTCCTTAGTTTCTGTAGACAGTCAGAACATCTAAAGGACAAACTATTGAGGATTCTAAGGACCACTTCATCTTAAATTTATCTTTTTTCCCCTCAATAGAAGAGTACATATTCAGATCAAGCATCAGGCTCCAGCTATTCACCATGTTTGTTTTTCCAGAATTCTTATATGATCTGTGTGAGGCCCGGAGTTATTCTTGGAAATAAAGATGATGTGTTGTGTGTGACATGTCACTTTCACATTTAATTTCTTTTAATTAATATATATATATAAGGCAAAGGGAGCAGGGAGCCTAGCAGGAATAGATTGCCAGTTTGTCACATTAATTATTTATGGAAAATGTGCTATCCTGCTGACTAATACCAATAATTTTCATGCTAGTTTCATCAAATTAATAGAAAAAAATATAATCAACAAGTGTAAACAATGGATACTTTATAAAATCATTAAAGGAACTAATTTTAAAAAATATGATTGCCAGATAAAACAGTTGGTTGTGAAAGACAACCTGGGTTATTTAATCCACTAACATAATTTTACTAAAGAAAAAGCAGTATAAGTTATAAATTTTAACTTGCATTTTTTGTAGCTTGTTTTTCTGTTGTATTTTTTTCCCTTTAAATCTACAAGAACTTTTGGCATAAAGACTGCTGTAGGAAACTCATTTTCTCCTACATTGCCCAGTCTAAATTTATTGAATCTGAAGATTAATCATTCCACATTTTAATCATCCTTTGGTAAGACTTGGTAACTATCATGCTATCATTTCATTCTTTATGGGTCTGCTTTATTTTCTGCTTAGTAAAGAACTGGGACACTGGAAAAAGTGCTCAGTTCCCTACTGTCAGTTCAATAAAACAGTCTGAGCGCAGTTATCTTTATCTCTGTTATGAATGATTTACTGTGTTCACATGAATTCCATCTAAATATGTATCTTCCCTTAGGAAGTTGAATGTTATAAACAGCAGATTTACAACAATCCTTAAGATGCTCTCCATGGAGTAGAAGGTGCGGTCAGACAGCGTTTCGTATAATATAACTGGGAGCTGGCAGAAGTATATAATGTGTAAAAACCAGTAATTTATTTAGCTTACAGTTATCTAGAATGTGCAAATATTAAATTCCTAAAAAAGACAAAAATGATTTCAAGTTTTGGAGTGGAAAAGTCTGCCTTCATATTCTAGCTTGAAATAATGATCATTATATTAATTATGGATCAGTATAATAGAGGTAGATGTTATCCAACATATATGATCACTATCTTTCTGGGAAGACAAGCCCATGGGATCAGGCTGCTTGCCTTCTGCTAGCATGCCACTTCTATTTTTTGAATGAATTAACTGTTCTACTGTGCAGTATCTCACCGAAGTAATCATGAGTTAAGGCTAAGCAAGTTTTCATTTAACCAAGATTTTAAAAAAGATTTCAGAAGATGTGCATGCAGTCCCATAGCCTGTTCCACATCCTGTAACCATATGAAGGTAAGGATTGCATTTACATATTTATTGGTGTTCTGTGATAACTACAGCATTTACTACATATTAAAATTGCCAAGCCCATTGAAATAGAACATCTTTCTGGAGTAGATGTATTGATTTTTTGGGGACTGATGGGGAAATCATAATATATGATTACTAGAAATCCCTGTGTAATGGAATGTGTGGATGACCATGGGGAACAGAGGAAGAAATGTTGCCTGGGAAATAATCAGACAAGAGAGGTAGTAGTTCCTAGTGGCTTAACTGTCTGAGATGGAAACTTAGGAAGGATGTGTCCTAATGTATCAAGCAATTAATAGTGGTGGTGGGAAGTTTGCAATTTTAGCTTGGAAGATGCTGTTAACTTGGCCCTATAATAAAATGGAATCCACTCATCTAGACAACCTGTGATCTTGTCATCCTTTGAGACAATTAGAAGTCTGATGTGACCAGAATGAACATTAATTTTTAGGCCAACTATATATTTTTTTCACCCCAATGCTGGATGGTCCTTTGATCAAGTCTAAGACTATATGTCATAAACAGAAAACTAATTGTAGTGGCAAACAAACTTCATTAATAAGTCAATCTTTACTTACCTAAACAGATAAATATGACCATGGCTGTGCAACAAAACAATGGGGGCTGAAGTGATTACCATCTTCCTGCCAACTTCCCCATTGATTTTGCTTGTGGGAAGCTGGCACTGAGCATCGGAAATTGTGATCATGTGACCCCAGGAATACCGCTATGGCCACAACTTTGTGAATAAAACTGGTCTGAATGCCATGAAAATTTAAATTCCACAGGAGTAATGGAAACTAGATTTTTATGCACATGCAGCAGATTAGTACTATATAGATTTCTCATGCCTATAATAATTTTTCCCTTCTCTCCTGCTCAGCACAGGAGTAGCTTTCTTC